GTATGAAGAAGCCTTCAGGCTCAAACTAGAACACATACACAGGCAACTTTAGGATAACTCAAAAGAAGATCCGGTGGACCTCCTTGGATGGGAAGCTAAGGCTAAGGTTACTGCATAACCCCACTAGCCTGAGTCCTCAGCAGGAATCGTCATTTAGGGGATCTTGGTCTAGGACCAGGCAGCACAGGCAGGGTCACCCATTTTCCCACAGCCACCTCATCCTTACTCATCCTCTGATCATCTGCTGATTGAAAATCTTGTGTCCCTGAGTAGGGAGAGATGGGAAGTGTTAGGGGAAGATCTGTCAGTTATGAGCAGCCTTCTCCCCCACCAGAAGATGGTAATTTATTAAGTTTAGTTTAGAAACATTTGCAAGTGTTATCTACCTATATAATTCTACTATTTTGATGAAATCTAATTTGGATGGTTTCACTGGCCATGACTACATTATTTCAGGAAAGACTTGGTAGCAGGATGACAGGCAAGGTTTTGTAAAGCCCAGAGACCCTGTTTTATTTTCATTGCATCCAAAGGCCAAGACGCCAGGTTTGTAGGTCTATGTGGAGACCCACAAGGATGGGTAAGCCTTGAGGGTCTGGGTGGCACTGAGATTGCCTAAAAAGGGCTTTTTGAAATTTTACTGTCTACTTAGAATGTTCCAGGCCTCCTGTGTTCCCCTACATGGATTATGACACAGTGTAGCCACAGATAATGACCTTATTTCAATTTGATTATTTGAGTTCCTGGGAATGAACTTCATTGATTACCAAGTACTTGGTGGTATTTCTCCATCAGCCCCTGGACTATTCCAGTGTCAAAATCAGAAAACTAGGTAAAACCATCATGGAAGATGTCAGAGGACTAATCTTGAGATTCTGTTCATTTCAGACTATTTATTTATGGACCATCCATGAAACAAAATAGTTTCTTCATGTGCATGAAGCATATAACCCATTGTAAAAATCCAGGTCCCTAGTTATGACTCTATACAGACACATATGGCTCTATACAGAAGGTCCAATCTTCAGGGACTTCCTTCCAATGTAGCCCCCAGCATCTGATTCCTTTCCCAATCCACACTTCAGGAAGTGTCTGAAATGCTGGGCTCTGAGTTTCCTTCATGATCCCTCTACATCCTGGTTATACATCCAATTGCATAGAGGGCAGCTGTTTATACACACCCAACTAGGCAGCTGTTGGACAGGAACAGTGAATGAGGCCCTGGTTGTATAGAAACATGCAGCCACATTGAGGACATGAGACAGTAAGGAAAATAAGGACCTTTGGCTGCCTAAAGTCCTTCAGTATTGCTGTGAGCTCAGCACAGAGCTGGGAACATCTTCTGGGGTGGATGGCACCCTGGGCATCATATCTCTCCAGAGGGGCAGGGTATAGCTCTAGGCTTAACTGGTTTAGTCTGGCAGTGTGGCACAGCAGGTCCCTGAGGACTGACATGGAGATGTGATTCCGGAAAAAGCACAAGGCCCTGAGCTGGGAGCAACAGCTCAGGGCAGGCAGGATGGCTTGGAGCTGGGAGTCCGTGATCTCACAGGCTTCCAAGTCCAGGCTCTTCAGGGTGGCTGCAACAGTCTCCAGAAGAATTTTGAGGGGCTCCAGACTAAAATTGGCCAGTTTGATGCCCTTTAGATCCAGGTGTCTGAGCTGGCTGGTGTTTGGGCATCGGGAAAGATAATTCCAGTCTGAATCCGACAGCCGGCAGTTGGTTATTGCGAGGGCCTTCAGGGGCATCTTCAGGTGCCTAAGGAAGAACCAGGCAGTTAGTTCTGAGGGAAAAGATGAATTGGCCCAAACCCAAGGTCACTGTGAACATCTGAACATGGTTGACATTTTGTAGAATCTGCTCATTCAGGTCACTCCATTTCATTCTGAACTTTCACCACTACTTGTGTGACCAGGTGGGTCCTCCATCTCTATGAATGTCATCCTCAATGAAAAGCAGAAAGACATATATCTAGCCACAGGAAGTCAGGAAGAGTCATGTACGAAAGACAAATCCAGGAAAGATGTGGCAAAACACACTGGGGTTAACCCCTGCAGGGCTCACTCCCTGTCCCCTCAGCAAGACATCACCTGGAGATGGTTGTAGAGAAACATGCAGCCTTCCCAGGTGGTCATTAGAAGTGGGCTCCTCTGCTCCCAGATGGAGGACACAGAGCTTCCTTGTTGAACAGGTACAGGTGTGGGGGCTTCCCCTCCTTCAAAGTCCTCACTTCTACCCTGCATTGTACCCCTGTCACTGGACAGGCCTCCCAGGGAAGGAGCCTCACACCCACCTCACTAGCTTCTGTCCCCATCAGCTGGCTTCCCAGTATGGTGGCACTTCCCAGATCATGGACCTGGTTTACCCCTTTGCTCTAACACAGGTTAGGAGATCCAGCTTCAGGATACAATAGAACAGATGATGGGTTATTCACCTTCCAGTGACTTGTTCACCATGAGAGTGTCAGTGGCTGGCACACAGTAAGTGCCCTTTCATATTTACTGATACTCGTCTGCAGAGGAAGCTCACCCTCCTTACTAACCTCAGCACCTGCTCCAGGTGGCCCTCGAGGAGAAGGACAGCATCTACACAGAACTTCTGGAGGAAGTTCATCCTGAGGAACTTCGAGGTGAGCTGGGCAAGCAGCCACTCCTGCTCCTCTGGGGAGGTGTGGGCAGGTACGAGGACCTGGGAGATAAGCAGCTTCCTCAGGTTCCTCATATGGCCCATGAAAGGAGCACAAGCAGCCAAGGTGGAGGGTGCCCAGGTGCAGTGCACTTCCACCCTCTGGACAGAGACCAGCTGCAGCAGTCTCAGGACCTTCCTGGTGTAGCTGGTGGGTTTCCCAAAGATCTTCAGCTTATTGCAACACAGGTACAGCCTGTCCCTTCTCTGTGTGACCCACAGGAAAAAGTGGGTCAGGAATTCATCCTGAGGCCCTTCTGTGAGACACAAGTATATGACTATCTTCAAGGGCAGCTTAGCTGCCATTGCTGGACCAAGTTATAATGTTCGATTCTTCTTAATGTCCTCTGGTGAGCAGGCATCAAACATGGCTCCAGACCACATCCTCCAGAAGTTCTGGGGAACATTCCACAAATCCAGCACCTGCAGTTTCCACCTCCTGCAGGGACAACAGCAGAGTCTCAGCCCTGAGGCTCCTTCCTTCCCTCTCAGCTGCTGCCTCCTGCTCCACCTCTTCCTTCTGTCTCACTTTTCTCCATCCACTTCCCTCCAATCCAGCCTGGTGCCCCCACTTGTACAGACTGAGGCAGGGGCAGTTACAGCCTCCTTCATGGGTCACCACAGCTGCCACAATCACCTCCACATCTGGAAGCCTTTCCCAGATGGGGCTTAGCATGGCCAAGGCCTCTCCACCCCTCCTTGCTGGCAGCACTGGAAGCCTATGGGGCACACTTCAGCACCCACTCTCCCTGCCTATACCCATCCCTTCCCTGATACTGAGGGTGCTCCCTTCCAGGCCACCTGGGTCCCCCTCACCTTGGGCAATGCTGCTGGGCAAGCAGCATGTCCAGCCCATCCAGGGCCACTCGGATCATCTCCACCTGTGGCTTCCTCATCAGGGCCCCCAAGGGCAGGTGGGTGAAGGGCCAGGCCTGCACCATTTTCTTCAGGACCTCAGTGTGTCCCCTGCTGAAGGCCTCCACAAAGAGTGGTGGGAAGAGCTCTATGGGCAGGTCCTCCAGATCCAGGACAGCCCTGGACTTGTCACTCAGCAGGCTGCACCCTGCCAGCTCCAGCAGCATGGGTGGGGACTGGATGCTCATCCTGGGGAGTCTGCAAGAAGAAGGATCCTGGAAAATGGTCCAGGGAAAAGACCACTATCCCATCCATTGCCAGCCACTGGGAAGGGGGTACTGGGGAGTCCAAAAACTCACTCCAACCTTAATGGGGGAAAGCCTTTGATTATTATTTTGTCCTTATAAAATGGGAATTAGTGTGTCATGTGACTTAATGCAGCAGGCTCCTCAGTTTCAATAACTACAGTGGCTCAGAAAGGAGTTGCCCTCACATGGGTGGTGTTATTTTTAATTTCAAAAAATTAAATGAGCAATTATAAAGCATGTGCCCATATTATAAAACACTTGGAAATTACAAGGGTATCTCATGGATGTCTATTACACAGGTGAGATTCTGCCACCTTAGGGGGGAGTTGAAGTGAACAAACAGATCAGAACAGAGTTTGTGAACTGTTGCATGAGATAGTTTGAAGCTTTTTGTTTAATTTGTTTAAATAAATTATAAAATTACAAAACTACATAAGCCCTAAAGTATAATTTGGGGGATGAGGCAATATTGGGGATTGAATTCAGGATACTCAACCAGTAAGTCACTACCCCAGCCATATTTTGTATTTTTGTTGGAGACAGGGTCTAACTGATTTGTTTAGCACCTTGTGCTGCTGTGGATGGCTTTGAACTCTAATTCCCTGGTCTCCTCAAACTCTGGAGTTGTTGGGATTACAGGGTTTTGCCACCACACCCAGCAAACCAGTATAATTTTAAAGGCACACAAAATAAATATATTTATTATCAGAAAATAGAATTTCAATCAATTAGAATGAAAAAGGATTGCAATCCACTTCCTTGGTTAAGTAATTTTAAATTGGCTTCATCTGGAGCTCAGTGGAAGAGCACTTTCCTAGCACATGTGAGGCACTGGGCTTGATCCTCAGCAGCATCATTATTAAGTGATGGGCTGGGAACATAACTCCATTGATAGAGTGCTTGCCTCACATGCACAAGGCCCTGGCTCAATCACAATACCTTCATATAAAAAAATGGATAAATAAATAAATTACATTGTCCATATAAACTTTAAAAAATACAACAATTTATAAAGAGAAAAAGTGAGGGGCGTACGTGCACAAGCCTGTAATCCCAGCGCTCTGGAGACTGAGACAGGAGGATCATGGGATCAAAGTCAGGCTCAGCAAAAGCAGGCGCTAAGCAACTCAGTGAGACCCTGTCTCTAAATAAAGCACAAAACAGGGCTGGGTTGTGGCTCAGTGGTTGAGTGGCCCTGGGTTCAATAGCCCGTACCAAAGAAAGAAAGAAAGAAAATTGAAAGTGACATAAACCAAAGTGGAAATCCTAGTGTTCAGGATAAAGGTAAAACTACAGTGAGAGGCAAAAATCAAAGTTCTAAATTGGTTCATGAGAAAAGACAGGAACAAAATTGTTCCTGAATCTGCACAGGTGAGGCGGGAACAGGGTGGTGTTCAGAGCGGTGAGGGACTTACTGAATCTGTCCAGGGTTCTCGGAGCCTCAGCAGGCCAGGCTGGTTCTCCTTGGGCTTCAGGACTCTTGTGTTTCTCTTCTGGCTCCGCAGAACCTTTTATGGACCTCTCTGACCACGCCCCCACTTCCATCTGATTGACTGGCATCCAATCAGAAGGCAGTATCTGATCACGTTCTCCAATCTCTACCCATTTAATCCTGACTGGATTTTCTTCCTCCAGATTAATTGATTGAATTTGATTCTCATGCAGGTGCTCAGAATCAAGGAGAGTGTGAGAGTCAGGGATGCTTCCCTCCGTGCACTACACACCATGGACTCAATTTTGTCCATATGTGACTCTCCTGTTCCTCCCGTGACACAGTAAAGCACTGAACTCCTAAGAAAAAACAACACCTGAAAATATCTTTCAAAGGGATCTTTGGCCATATCAAAATTATTTGAAACATTTTTTTTCTGAAAATTCCATAGTAAAAATAGCTTTTTGAAGACATGGTGTCATCCACAAAGACCACAGAATGGAAACCATGTTTACAACAGTCACACAAGTGTCAAGTTACCTTGCAGCAAATCTTGGCACACTCAGAGAGGAAGAGCACATAAGTAGGGTGGAATCAGTCTTTTAGACTTAGGGCAAGACTTCTCCTATTTGGCTCTCTGTACTGGGGATTGAACCCATTGGTTCTCTACCACTGAATCACATCACCTGACCTTTTTATTTTTTTGCTTTAATTTGGAGATAGGATCTCATTAAATTGCTTAGGTCCTCACTAAGTTTCTGAGGCTGGCCTCAAATTTGCCATCCTCCTGCCTCGGTCCCCTGAGTTGCTGTGATTACAGGCATGGGTCACTGTGCCCCATCAGACTTGGAAAAGTCTGAAATCCACTGAGGGTGGAAACTGTGGGCAATTTGGGAATTGGAGAGAAAGACACAGTGTTGGACCAGGGAGGCCACCAACTGAATAGTCTTCCTTCAGAATCGGGGACCACCCAGAGCACATCTCCCAGGCAACCTTTGCTCCAGGCAGTTTCCATGGCCCTTTAGGCTTTGAGAATTTCACAGGCAAAGGAAGATTTGAAGAGCCTAAGTAAAAAGTAATTCAGGAATTGAGGAAGCTGAGACAGAAAGAGATGGAGTACTTGGATGATGAGCCATGTGAGGGGAGGACTTACAGGGAAGATATAGAATGAATGGTTTGATTGTTGGCAGTTACAGAATTGCATTTCTGCTTTGTTGTTCTGTCTTTGTGTTAGTCAGTTTTTCACGCTGTCACTAAAAGACCCAACCCCAACACCTACAGAGGAGGAAAAGTTTATCTGGGGGCTCATGGTTTCAGAGGTCTCAAAACACCCACAGCAGATTCCATTCCTTGGGCCCTCACCTCCAAGGTGAGGCTGAACATCATGGCAGGAGATTGTGGCAGAGGGAAGGTGCTCACATTATCAGAGAACAGAGAGGGAGATGGCCCCTTGCCAAATACAAAATATACACACCATATTCACACCCCCAATGATCACCTTCCTCCAGCCACACCCCACCTGGCCCTGGTTATCACTCAGTTAATCCCATTGGGAATTAACTGACTGACAAGGTTAAGGCTATAAACCAATCATGTCTCCTCCAAAACCATTGTCTCACAGGTGAGCAGTTGGATGACATAGCATCTAAACTGTGATGGTTTTCTTGGGTATCTTGTTGGAAAATATTCCTGGTCACATCACAGTTGGATACTTACAGTTGAGGTTATCTTTGGTTTCTGTTTCACATAATAAATTACCACAAATGACCCACATTTAATCTCCTATGAGTGCAGTGAAGTAGGGCTAAGGCTATTTCAGAGACCTCATTGCTTTTTAGGTTCCAAAACATTTGAAGTCTAGTCTCCGATTGAATTCTAAATTTCTCTGCCATTTGTGTGTGTGTGTAGCCAGAAAGGGTGACTTCATGCCACAGCCCTGCCTTCTCTTACCACCCTTGACTTGGTGCAGGAGGCAGGTAGATGTTACTGTCAACATAAGTCACAACAGACATTAGCTCTTCAAAGAACAAGTGTAGTCAGACATGATAGGGCAGGAATGCAGGACACCTAAAGAAAGATGAGTCAGAGCCCCATCCAGGAGGCAAAGGGAGACAGAGTGTCAAAGGCATCTTTGAATCAATTAACACTGGCTCCATAGATTCAGTACCAAGGGTGGCCTCAGTTCAAGGACAATAGGTGGCAACTGGCCAGGTGGCCTCTTTGAAAACGTGTGTGGGGGGTGTGAGGGTTAGGGTGGATTTTATGCGCAGCTGAGGTTGGGGCTGACTGGTTTGTGATAGATTCTGAAATCAGGCAGGGCTGCCCAGGAACCTTCCCTTCACAGCACCCTGCTTCCACTTCATCAGGATTTGACACAGTTACTGCCTGTTGATTTGAGCACCATTTATGTTTCCTCCTTGGGATGAAGATTTTTTTTCTCTGGATGCTTCACATAATGGTTAGGGTTTGATTCTATCTCAGTGCCAGGATGAACTTTTCCTGGTTGGTCCAGACCCCATTGGAGGGAATTAATAGATGACTAGGAATCAATGTTGAAACTCATTGAGCCACATTTAAACAACAAGATGGGTTTTGAGGGAGTGGCTCTCAGTGTCCCTCCACCAGGAAGTCACTGTGAAATGCAATTTTGCCTATTCATTAGGCCTTTACTATTTGTCCTTTACTATTCTATGAAGAGTTAGACTTTTGCAGAAATTTTATGAGTATAGATGTTCATTTTTAAAAAAAAAAATATTTAGGTCCTGAATTCATTTGTTTTTAATCTTATTTTTTATTTTCTGTCACTGGGGATTGAACTCAGGAGAGCTTTACCACTGAGCTACATCCTCAGATTTTTTTCACTTTTATGAATTAATTACTTAGTTAATTAAATTATTCATTTATTCAGCTTGGGTACTAAGGTTTGAATGCAGGGGAACTACACCACTGAGCTATATCCCCAGCCCATTTTTTTTTTTAATTTTATTTTGAGACAGGTTCTCACTAAATTACTGAGACAGGCCTTGAATTTGAGATCCTTCTGCCTTAGCCTACTAAGTCGATGGTGTTATGGGGAGTCCCTCCAGAAAGAACTCTAAGTCTGAATTTCAAATCAAAAGAGATCTTTACTTACCTGACTAGGGACTGTCACCCACCACAGAGAGTCAAGCTCTGTGAGAGGACAGCAGCTTCCTGATCCATCCAAAGGTATTATAAGCACAAAATCCACAACTCAGTGACTTGCTTATTCTTGTGTAAACTAGCCAACCATAGAAATTAAAACATTAATAAGTGGGACCTCTAGGCTATAGGCAGGACCAGAATTTTTCAGCCAGCAAGCCAGCACATTAGCTTTGAAATTCAGTTGACCACAGTCCTGGGTTCAAGCAGGTGCTAGACAGTCACATCCTGAATTTGGGTGGGGGTCAGCAGGGTGAGAATCTACTTCAAAGTCATGTAGACCCACAATAGCATGCAAACACAGGATGTAGCTCTCCATGACCACCAC